CTTCATCTTATTATTTTAGGGCTGTATCGGTGTTGCCTTATAACGCGTGCCACATGTCTTCAGGGTGTGAAGCCCCATGGGCTTTCTCAATATTTCTTATTCATCGTCAGTGCGTCCTTCTCTATTTAAACACTTGAGAAGTTTTAGTCTTTCTTTCTGTTCATAAAAGTTACAACAGTTTCTATGTTGTCTGCTAGAATTGCATTAGGTAGAGTGCAAAAGAAGATAAGCATTGCAAGTTCCATCTAGAAGGCTACTGTCTTTGAAAGTGGTTCACAGTAAAACCGAGCAGCATCCATGTGTGTCCTGGGGATCACCAGGCTTATTACACACGAAGGCCGTGGGGTGGACACAGGATCACTGATCAACTCCAGGGGACCCAGAGGTGAGGCTGAAGCCTAAATTCGGCTATTCCAACTTTTAGGAGCCAAAGGGGAAGATGAGGCCAGAAAGCTCATTTTGGCCAGAGGCTAAGATCAGAGCCAAATCCTGGCGTATCCCTACTAAATTGTGTCACTTCTCTAAGAGGGACCCACTGGCCAGCATTAAAAATTGGGTTGGAGCCATTCATGACATGGTGGCAAACACCTGCAATCCAGCAACTCAGGAGGCCGAGGCAGGAGGATCACAAGTTCAAAGCTAGCCTCAGCAACTTAGTGAGTCCCTATGCAACCTAGCCAGACCCTGTCTCAAAATTAAAAATTAACTAAATAAAAAGGACTGGGATGTGGCTCAGTAGTTAAGCACCCTGGGTTAAACCTCTAGTACCCCCCCCAAAAAAAAAATTATTGGGAATGTGTATTAAACAGCACGAAAGGATTGTCTTACTATCACTGAATTTTAACAGTTGATTATAAAAGAGATTGAAGATGTGAGCCCAATTTTGTGATTAAGAAGAAAAAAAATCTGGATAAATGAAACACTGTTCCAAATGTTAATAATGTTTATCTCTGGGTTTAGAATTAAAAGATTATTGCTTCACTTTTAATTAATTTTTTTTGTCTTTTCTTACAATATACATTACTCAGATGACTTTTAAAAATCACAAGTGATTTTAGCTGGGCACAGTGGCACACACCTGTAACCCCAGTGGCTCTGGAGGCTGAGACAGGAGGATCACGAGTTCAAAGCCAGCCTCAGCAAAAGTGAGGCGCTAAGCAACTCAGTGAGACCCTGACTCTAAAGAAAATATAAAATAGGGCTGGGGGTGTGGCTCAGTGGTCGAGTGCCCCTGAGTTCAATCCTCAGTACCCAAAAACAAAACAAAAACCAACAACAAGAAAAGTTACAAGTATCTTGATATTTAAAGTGTGTCTTTTCTGTCTCCCCTTTTCCCTTTCATCCGGGGCCGATCGACCTTCCACACTCGGCAGATGGTCTGGACCCGGAGCAGAGCCTCCTCCAGCGCTCACGGTCCATATTCACTGGAGGGTCGAGGCTTTGGAGGCCTGGAGCTGCCTCTCCTGGGCCTCTTCTAGAGCCTCACCAAGAGGAAGGTCAAGAACAGAGGGAAGGTGGAGGATGGCAGAGGGCAGGGCCCCCAATGGACCAGTGAGGAACCAGACTCCCAGAGGCTGGGAGTTCCAGGAAAATCCAGCTTCAGCCCTGAGGGCAGAGCTACAAGGTGGTCCATCAAATCCACTTCCCTCCTCCTCTTTCTCAGCACAGCTCACCACTGTTAGCCAGTTACACAGTGACCTGTATGTAGTAAGGTGCGGCCCTGTGACTAAGTTCTGGCTAATGTGAGAAATAAGTGCATAAGTCGTGCTCAACCTTCAGGAAATGTCCTTAAAAAGAGAGTCCTGTCCTTTCTCCTATTCTTCTCTCTGCTGAATGGAATATGGACACGATGACTGGTATAGGAGCAGCCATTCTAGACCACGAGGCAACACACTCAGGATGAGGGAGCAATGAGATAGAGTCCAGGTCTCACAGGATTGTAGAGCCTCAGTGCCAGGCCTGTGTGGCCTCCCTTAAGCTTCATTTATGTGGGAGCCAAGCGTACCTCCATTTAGTTTAAATCATGTTCTCCTGGGTTTGTCACATGCCACAGAACCTAATCATAATTAATTACAAACAGCTCTCCTTTCTCAGAACCTACTGTGCGGCCACTCTTCCAGATGCGCTGTTACCTTGGTCAGCCTCCGCAACAACCCCACCAGGTGGGAACTGGCTCCCCCCCCC